AATTTGGGGCTTATGTACTGTAGTAGGGGAAGTGGAAGGGGCAAGAAAAGGCTCCTGTGGGAAGAATGAATAGGTTTCTTTATGAAACACAAATGAGTTTTTAGGAAAACAAGCTGGAGATAAAGTTTGTGATAACGCTTGCTTATGCAGGGGCTCATGGTCTTTCTATTATATCTTCATAGCTGTGAAACGCCTCTAGAGAGGGAATTTGAAGTAGGTTTACCCTTGGTCTCTTTCCTGGTAGCTTCTGGAAGAGGACTATATAGCTGTCTTCATTTCTCAAAGGTTTCTGCTTTTCTTATAAAAATTAGCCTGTACTTGGCTGGACATGGTGGATCACATCTGTAATCTCAGCACTTTGGGAGGCCAAGGCAGGTGGATCACTTGAGGCCAGAAGTTTGAGACTAGCCTGACCAACATGGAAAAATTCCATCTCTACTAAAAATACCAAAAATGAGCCAGGCATGGTGGTGGGTCCCTGTAATCCCAGCTACTTGGGAGGCTGAGGCAGAATTGTTTGAACCTGGGGGACAGAGGTTGCAGTGAGCCAAGATCGCACCACTGCACTCCAGCCTGGGTGATGGAGTGAGACTCTGTCTTAAATAAACAAACAAACAAAAATTAGCCTGTGCCTGTATTTCTGGTTAGTGGCAGTGGGGGTGGGGTGCTGAGGTGAGAGGATGGCTTGAGCCTAGGAGGTCGAGGCTGCAATGAGCAATGATTGTGCCACTCCACTCTAGCCTGGATGACAGCAAGACCGTGTCTCAAAAAAAACCAGTTCTTCTTTTTTTTTTTTTTTTGAGATGGAGTTTCACTCTTGTTACCCAGGCTGGAGTGCAATGGTGCGATCTCGGCTCACCACAACCTCCACCTCCTGGGTTCAGGCAATTCTCTTGCCTCAGCCTCCTGAGTAGCTGGAATTACAGGCATGCGCCACCATGCCCAGCTAATTTTTTGTATTTTTAGTAGAGACGGGGTTTCACCATGTTGACCAGGATAGTCTCAATCTCTTGACCTTGTGATCCACCAGCCTCAGCCTCCCAAAGTGTTGGGATTACAGGCTTGAGCCTCCGAAAAGTTCTTCTTTTAGTCAGATTTAGGAAGCCCTGAGAAGGCTTCTTTCTGCATCTGTTGAATCTCAAATGTCTTCAGCTTAAAATAATCTTTATACACCAAATCAGGGATTCCGAGTAGGTCCCCACAGGGCTTATCCAGTTCCATCATATTTTGGCTAACTGTGAAATGGCAAAGAGGGCAAAAGCATCCTAAGGGGAAGGGAAGGAGTTATATTTATAGGACATACATTAGATGGCTGGCAGCAGTTTTCACCTCATCTCGTTCCATCCTCCCAATACCCCCATGTAAGCAAATATTAGTGAATCCCTATTTATCAGATTAGGAGACCAAGGCTCAAGTACAAAAAATTTACCCAGGATGCCCAAGCTGTACCTGAGGTTGCCAGAATTGAGAACACATCTGCGTGGCCTCAGAGTGGGGCTGATGCCAGAACAATGAAGGCAGGGGGCAGGAATGGCCAGTTGGGAAGCAACACTAGAGCCACACTTTGGAGATCAGAGGCTGAGACCATATTGGAAAAGTACCTAGCAATTCCACCAGGATGGCTTTGCAGAGCTAAAGAAATGCTGGTGCGAGCCCTCCCCATCTCTCTATCCCCCAGGGCCATTTGTGGTCTGAGACAATAATGGAAGTTTCCAGCCAGTTAGTCAACGTGGCTCATGTCTGTAATCCCAGCATTTTGGGAGGCTGAGGTGGGAGGATCGCTTGAGCTCAGGAGTTTGAGACCAGGTTGGGCAACATAGGGAGACCCTATCTCATATAAAAGTTTAAAAAATTAGCCAGGCATCGTGGTGGCGTGCCTGTAGTCCCCGCTACTCAAGAGGCTGAAGCAGGACTGCTTGAGTCCAGGAGTTGAGGCTACAATGAGCTATGTTTGCACCACTGGTGACAGAGCCAAACCGTGGCTCAAAAAATAAAAATAATAAAGGATGTTAGCCACATTTCAGAGAAGATAGCTGGAGGTCCGTGAGGGGAGTGCCTCCAGACTATGGAACCCCTCAGGCCCATCTTCCCTCTCTCCAAGTAGACACTGGGCCTGTCTCCCCGGCCAGTCTCCCACAGCTTCCACCATACAAGAGGGTTTGATTTCTGTCCCCTTGCTGCCCCAAAGTCAGACTGCAAGTGCTATTTCTTTCCACCTGATTTCCACAAAGTTTGTCCCCTTCTTTTTCCTGAGAATTGAGAAAGTTAAAATAAGCAAGGAATGAGAAATTTGAAGCATACTCTGCCATTCATCTGGCTGGGATAAACAAAGATAAAGCCAGCTACAAAGTTAAACAGGAAACCCAATCTCTCCCAAGGATAAACTGCCTCCCCAAAGTAGCATAAGGAATACTATTTTTTTTTTAACTCTTGGCAATCTCAGAAATCTTGTTCTCCAAAGTCATAGGCTTTCAGAAACTTTGCTGGCTGAAATTATTCTGATTATTTATTTAGAGACAGGGTCTCAGTCTGTCACCCAGGCTGGAATGCCATGGTGCAATCACAGTTCACTGCAGCCTCGATCTCCCAGGTTCAAGTGATTCTTCCACAGCCTCGCCAGTAGTTGAGACTACTAGCGTACATGACCATGCCCAACTGGTTTATTTTTATTTTCTGTAGAGAAATAATGCTGCCTAGGCTGGTCTTGAACTCCTGGGCTTAAGCAATCCTCCCACCTTGGCTTCCCAGTGTTGAGATTACAGGTGCACATCACCATGCCCAGCTGGTTTATTTTTAATTTTTTTTTGGTAGAGAAATAAGCTGGGCATGGTGGCTCACACCTGTAATCCCAGCAGTTTGGGAGGCTGAGGCGGGTGGATCACAAGGTCAGGGGTTCGAGACAAGCCTGACCAACATGGTGGAATCCTGTCTCTAAAAAAAAATTAATTAATTAATTAAAAATAAATAAGAGAAATAACCATGCTGCCTAGGCTGATCTTGAACTCCTGGGCTTAAGTGATCCTCCCACCCTAGTCTCCCAGTGTTGAGATTACAGACATAAACCACCTCTCCTGGCCTTGCTGTTTGAAATTATATGAGCAAAAATGAAACATCCCGCTTATGCCTGGAGCATCTTACTTTGACATAAAAACAGCTTTGATTTACAACCCAGGTGTATAACTTTAGATATATGGGATTTGTGGATATCACTCCACATCTATCTTAACTTTGTTGTTTCCAAGGAAATGGGACCTTGGGTGCACTTTGTAGTCTAGCATTGTCTTTACATGCAGCTAGATTTGAGCTTTCAAAACACTGTTTCAGGGGCGGGCACCGTGGCTCACGCTTGTAATTCCAGCACTTTGGGAGACTGAGGTGGGCAGATCACGAGGTCAAGAGATCAAAACCATCCTGGCCAACACGGTGAAACCCTGTCTCTACTAAAAATACAAAAAAAATTAGCCAGGCATGGTGGCACACACCTGTGGTCCCAGCTACTCGGGAGTCTGAGGTGGAAGAATCGCTTGAACCCAGGAGGCAGAGGTTGCAGTGAGCCAAGATTGAACCACTGCATTCTAGCCTGGTGACAGAGCAAGACTCCGTCTCAAAAACAAAAAACAAACACTGTTTCAGGTAAATTTATCCTAAATTCTACCCTCCCCCAAAGCATATAACAATTGTTTCCCTTTTTTAGTTTGGTGAGATGCCCCATGGTTCCTCTGCTGTGGACGATCCTCCCTTGCAACTAGCAAAACAAACCCTGACTTTGGCAGACTACAGCCTTGTCCCTGGTGATTGTGAGCTGCTTGGGCTAGGACAGAACCCTCACAAAACACGACCCTTCTGTCTTCATCCTTGACTTTATCTCCCAAGGCCCAAGACAAAGACATAGATTGTTGGGTCAGCCTCTTCCTTGGATAGGCAGAGAGGGGAACACAGGACACTGAATTCTTCTGGAGAATACTTGTTTTCTTTCTTCTCCTGGTGTGTGTGTGTGTGTGTGTGTTGAGACGGGTCTCAAAGTAGGATTGCAGTGCTCTGATCATACCTCACTACAACCTCAAGCTCCTGGGAACAAGCAACCTTCCTGCCTTTTCAGCCTCCCAAGTGGAGAGTAGCTGGGACTACAGGCATGTGTCACCACTCCTGGCTAATTTTTAAAAAATTTTTTTGTAGAGATGCGGGGATCTCACTATGTTGCCTAGGCTGGTCTTAAACCTCTGGCCTCAAGTGATCCTTCTGTCTTGGCCTCCCAAAGTGTTGGGATTATAAGTGTGAGCCATTGTGCCTGTCCTGTTGGTGATTTCTTGGTATAACTGTCCAATTTGTTGAATGTTTATGGTGTGCCAGGCACTGGGTTGAGGGCTTCATAATGCCCTTTTACTCAATCCCATGAAGAAGTAGTGTTAATATCATCCTTATTTTACAGATTTAGAAACTGAGGCACAGGCTATATAACTTGCTCAGCAAGTTCATGCAGCTTAGTAAGCAGCTCAGCTGGGATGTGAACACAAACTTTGAATACAGAGCTCTTAACCACTAGGTCAGAGGTTCCCAAACACTTAGAATATTTACTACCTTAGTACTTTTCCATCACATCTCCTAGGCCAAAACAACATCGATTGTTACACAGTTTACTAAGTGTAATTTAGCAGCCATGTGAAAGAAATAATACATGTAAAAGAAAAATATTTTTACGCCATTTTCAAAATATATATATATATAGTCATGGAATGTATGTGTTGGTTGGGCATTGCAGATTAAAGATAGATTAGGGCCAGGCACAGTGGCTCACACCTGTAATCCTAGCACTTTGAGAGGCCAAGTAGAGAGAAGGGCTTGAGCCCAAGAGTTGGAGACCAGCCTGGGCAACATAGCAAGACCGAGACTCTGAAGAAAATAAAATTATCAGGGTGTGAGGATGAACACCTGCAGTCTTCGCTGCTTGGGAGGCTGAGATGGGAGGATCAGCCTGAACAACAGAGTGAGACACTGTCTCAAACAAACAAAAGACAGACTTTTATTCAGATATGCATGCAGGAGTTCACAGGAAAAAAATGTTACTCTAGGAGGCTATTAATTGCCATTTATACAACTTTTTTTTTCCTTGAACCTCTAAATCTACTTTATATATACCATTTAATAGGAGAAAAGGACAGGTCTGTGAGAAGAACAAATCGATCTTTAGGGAAACAAATGGGAGCTAAGAATGTTTGTTTTAGCAAAAAGGCTTCTATGGGAAGAACAAATAGGTTTCTAGGGGAACAAATGGGAGATAAGAATGTTTGTTTTTGCAGGTGCAAGAGGTCTTTGTCTTTTTTTCTGGTCACTAAAACTCCCCTTGAGAGAAGATTTATGGCAGCTTCCCTCCCAGAAATTTCTGCTGTTAGTCACATATGGGAGACTTTGAAAAGGCATCTTTCTGCATCTGTTGGCTCTCAAATGTCTTCAGTTCCAAGTAACATTCATGCCGGTTCTGGGGGTCTGAGTGGTCCTCACATAATATATGTGTCTTCTTGTCTAACTCTTAGCGAACTTTGTGGGAGGCATCAAACTGTAGCCTCCAAAATTTGGCCCACAGGCACTGTTGTCCTCACTAAAGACCAGGAAACAAGTTCAGACAAGTATTAATAAAATTGCTCCAAGTTATCTGCTTGGCCAGCTAGGATCAAAGGTCTAACGCAAAGCACAGGCTCTTAACCTCTTAGAACTGGCACATCCCCACTGAACCTCCATTTCCTTCCTGTAAAAGAATAAAGTCAAGGCCAGGCGAGGTGGCTCATGCCTGTAATCTTATCACTTTGGGAGGCTGAGGTGGGCAGATCACTTGAGGCTGGGAGTTTGAAACCAGCCTGACCAACATGGAGAAATCCTGTTCTCTACTAAAAATACAAAAATTGGCCGGGCACGGTGGCTCAAGCCTGTAATCCCAGCACTTTGGGAGGCCGAGGTGGGTAGATCACGAGGTCAAGAGATCGAGACCATCCTGGTCAACATAGTGAAACCCTGTCTCTACTAAAAATACAAAAAATTAGCTGGGCATGGTGGTGTGTGCCTGTAATCCCAACTACTCAGGAGGCTGAGGCAGGAGAATTGCCTGAACCCAGGAGGCGGAGGTTGTGGTGAGCCGAGATTGCGCCATTGCACTCCAGCCTGGGTAACAAGAGTGAAACTCCGTCTCAAAAAAAAAAAAAAAATTAGCCGGGTGTGGAGGCACATGCCTGTAATCCCAGCTACTCGGGAGACTGAGAGACAGAAGCGCTTTAACCTGGGAGGTGGAGCCATTGCACCCCAGCTTGGATGACAGATTGAGACTTCATCTGAAAAAAACAAAAACAAAAACAAAAACAAAAACGTTGGGCACAGTGGCTCATGCCTATAATCCCAGCACTTTGGGAGGCCTAGGCGGGTGGATTATGAGGTCAAGAGATTGAGACCATCTTGGTCAACATGGTGAATCCCTGTCTCTACTAAAAATACAAAAATTTAGCTGGGCGTCGTGGTGGCGCATGCCTGTAGTCCCAGCTACTGGGGAGGCTGAAGCAGGAGAACTGCTTGAACCCGGGAGGCAGAGGTTGCAGTGAGCCGAGATAAAGCCACTGCACTCGAGCCTGGGTAACAAGAGTGAAACTCCATCTCAAAAAAAAAAGAAAGAATAACATTATATTAGTTGAACTAAAGGAATTAAATATTAATATTTGTACTACAAAAAAGGTCCATCATCGCTGGGTGCAGTGGCTCACACTTGTAATCCCAGCACGCTGGGAGGCTGAGGCAGGTGGATCATTTGAGGTCAGGAGTTTGACACCAGCCTGGCCAACATGGTGAAATCCTGTCTCTATTAGAGATACAAAAATTAGCTGGTTAGTAGGGGTGCACACCTGTAATCTTGGCTATTCAGGAGGCTGAGAAAGGAGATTTGCTTGAGCCTGGGAGGCAACGGTTGTTGTGAGTCGAGACTGCACCACTGTACTCCAGTCTGGGAGACAGAGATCCTGTCCCCCCAAAAAAGGTCCAGCTTAAGAAACAGTGAAACTTTGTCTCTATACAAAATTTTTAAAAAATTAGCAGAGCACCAGGCACAGTGGCTCACACCTGTAATTCCAGCACTTTGGGAGGCTTAGGCAGGTGGATCACTTGAAGTCAGGAGTTCGAGACCAGCCTGGCCAACATGGTGAAACCCCGTCTCTACTAAAAATACAAAATTAGCTGGGCATGGTGGTGGGCCCCTGTAATCCCAGCTACTAGGGAGGCTGAAGCAGAACTGCTTGAACCCGAAAGGTGGAGATTGCAGTAAACCAAGACCGTGTCACTGTACTCCACCCGACTCCTCAAAATAGAAAAAAAAATAGGCATGGTATTGCAGACCTGTGGTTCCAGGTATTCAAGAGGTTGAGGTGGGAGGATTGCTTGAGCCTGGGAGGTTGAGGCTACAGTGAGCACAGATTACGCCACTGCACTCCAGCTTCTGTGACAGAGCGAGACCCTGTCTCAAATAAATAAATAAATAAACGGTCAAATTTTGAGAATTTCATATAGTTCAAACTAGTATAAGTTTTTTTTTTTTTTTTTTTTTTTTTTTTTTTAGATATAAAGATGGGGTTTCACCATGTTGGTCAGGCTGGTCTTGAACTCCTGACTTCAGGTGATCCGCCTGCCTTGGCCTCCAAAGCGATTGGATTACAGGTGTGAGCCACCACGCCCGGCCCAAACTATTATAAGGTTGTTGTGAGATCTAAATAAGATAAAATGGTGATAAATTGGAAGCATTATAGTATTTCTGTTAATAACATAGGACTCCAGAACCAGCTTCCTTGAGTTAAACCCAGACACCACCACTTTCTAGCTACTCAGTCAGGGCAAGTTACTTGACCCATCTGTACCTCGGCTTCATCCATTATATGGAGATACAGGATAGATTAACAACCTCGCAATTCTGAAATCCAAAAAGCTGTGAAAACCAAAATTTTGGGGGTAAATTCATTTGGTAGCAAATTTTGACCTGAGACTATTTATAGTCCACATTCTGTATTCACTTTACTTAGTATGAATAAGCAGTTTTACTGCATGTTTGATTTCAGCGTGTTCCCCCAGACTCTCTGGAGGGTGTCACATATTATGCCGGTGGGGGAAAGAGACCAACTCTCAAATACTAACTGAAACAGTTGGTTTAATTGTGCTTGCTTGGGCAGCACATATACCAAACTGGAATGACCCCTGCACAGGGATGAAATGCAAATTCGTGAAGCGAATACGGTATGTATTTTATTTTTTAGCACATACCACCTTTGGCAATATTTTTTTTTTAGGTTGATTTGATTACTTGCCAAGCAACGGAGAACCTTCCGGCAGAACGGTCTCCACGAACAAGGCAAAGAACTTAACATAGGTTTTTACCAATGCACAGCTGTTGCTGATTGGGGCTGGTTTCTGGCATTCTGGATTTCATATTTATTTAGTTTGGGATAAGGGGACAAAGAATTGCCTGTCTGCCACTTTCTTTCTTGAATTTGAATAGAAGCTTTTTATTCTCACAGCCTCTTAGTTTTCTAAAATTTGAAAAAATCCTGCAAAGACACACCTGGGCCAAAGGGCTCAGATAACGGACTGTGGCCCTTAAGTACCTACCTCAAAGGTTATTGAGACAATAGATTTAGTTACCAGATGTAAAATGCTGGGATCAGTGCTTGGCAAAGGAAGGCTTTCTACAGCTGCAGGTTTTTACCATACACAAGTAAAAGGCATCGCTAACGAATGCTATTACAACATTCACTTAGCATTTACCAAGTGCCTACTCGGTACGAATCGAGAATACAACGTGAAGGTGAACTGCTAACTAAACTGGTCCCTTTCGCTCCGGCTCCTGCGAAAGTGCTCTAATGGCAGGAGGTCACGCGAGCGCCGGCGCGTTTCTCCCTGCGGGCCCCTTTCCGTGGCCTCGGGTCACCCCGGCTACCCTAGCTCAGGGAGTGCGCGCCCCAGCTTCTCCGCTTCCGCTCCAGAGAGGAAGGGCTTTCCGAGCCCGCTAGCCCCGCAGCTGCAACGGTCCTCGGGTCGAAATGTTCCGGCCCAGATAGGCCAGCGGCCTGCGGGAAGAGGCGCTCAGCGAGGGTCGCTCCCCGGTCGGCGTGCCGACCCCGCCCCTCCTCACGTCGCCGCGCGCCCGGGGGCGGGGCTTGGCGCGTGCCGCCCCCGCACGGCGAGGCGTCCGTCCATTGGCCACTGGGGCCCGGGTACCTCCAGCGGAGCGCGCCTCCCCCCGGGTTTCCCGCCAGCAGAAGGCGCGCGGTAGATGTGGTACATTTAGGTGCTCCGTCCGACAGAACGGTTGGGCCTCGCTGGCCGTCGGTATGTCGCGACAGAGCACTCTGTACAGCTTCTTCCCCAAGTCGCCGGCGCTGAGTGATGCCAACAAGGCATCGGCCAGGGCCTCACGCGAGGGCGGCCGAGCCGCCGCTGCCACCCGGGCCTCTCCTCCAGGAGAGGATGCGGCCTGGAGCGAGGCTGGGCCTGGGCCCAGGCCCCTGGCGCGCTCCGCGTCACCGCCCAAGGCGAAGAACCTCAACGGAGGTCTGCGGAGATCCGTAGCGACTGCGGCCCCCACGAGGTAGCGCTCGGAACCCGGGGATGGGAGGCTCGCACAGGGGTTGGGGGGCCACGGCCTGCTCCTGGGCTCCGAGGCAGGGCCACAGAGGTGGCTTAAAGGAGTGCAGGGGCCGAGTCTGGAGCATTTCGGGGTGTAGCTTGTAAACAGGGTTAGAGGAGAGAGGCTGTGCAGGAAGAGGGTTGGAGGGGAGACGCGGAGAGTTCAGGAGCTTTGGAGGGAGGAAACGCGTCCCGCCAGGTGGGGGGCTGGGAGATGGAAGGGGCGACGCGGCCAACTCCGGGTGGGGAGGGGGCCCGGGAGGCGGGAGAACTGGGGGTGGGGCGGGAAGGGGAAGGCGCCGAGCCCGTTTGGTGTGCGGAAGGGGGCAGGGTGGAGGGGAGGAGGAATGCCTGCGGGAGGCGGAACGCCGCGAGCCAGGTGGCTAGGGGTGCGAAAGGAGGTTCCCTGGCCGGCGGATATAGTGAGCTGGGGCTCCAGTAGTTTTCGAGGTAGACACTTTTGGGTAGTTAAGAGCCGCGGTCACCCAGACGCCGTGGGGACAGTGGGCCCTCCGCCCGGATGAGGGGCCGCCGAGGGGGTGGGCCGCGACCCGAGAGTGCGGGGTGGGGGGGGAGTGTCGCTGTGCGGACCGCGGGGCTTGATTGGGCGGAGTGCGGGCGGGGCGGGGCGGGGGGAGCCGAAGTGTTTGGGATCTGGCCCGGTCTTTCCGTCGTAGGTAGACTGCACGTGTCTATTTTCATAGACAAATGAAAATAGAAGCTATATTTTGACGCACGTGGAAATTTCGTGTCGAGTGGAAAATATTTTCTTTTATGAAATAGTGTAATTTTTATGGGGCAAGGTAATGTTTTCGAAGTTGAGGGTGGGCTTTTAGAGGCCTTAATCTGTCCCTGGGCAAAGATGTGTGGACACGACCCCGGGGAAGCGGGACGGGAGTTGTCCTCACTTTCTGGGCAGTTCAAGGCCTTTTTTTTTGTTTTTTTTTTTGAGACGGAATTTAGCTCTTGTTGCCCAGGCTGGAGCGCAATCTCGGTTCACCTCAACCTCTGCCTCCCGGGTTCAAGCGATTCTCCTGCCTCACCCTTCCGAGTAGCTGAGATTATAGGCATGTGCCACCACACCCGGCTAATTTGGTATAGTTAGTAGAGACGGGTTTTCTCCATGTTGGTCAGGCTGGTCTCGAACTCCCGACCTCAGGTGATCCGCCCGCCTCGACCTCCCAAAGTGCTGTGATTACAGGCGCGAGCCACCGCACCCGGCCCGTTCAGGGTTTTTTATCCGTGCAGCAGGCGACATTTTGAAAAGCTCACTTTTACTGTTTGCCAGCTATTAAAAACACAAAGTTCAGTGGTAGCTATTTGAACAAATGAATAAATAGAGTCTCAGAAAAAACTCATTCAAGATAAGAGAGCTAGTTAGTGTTTTTTGTTTGTTTTGTTTTGAGACGGAGTCTCGCTTTGTCGCCCACGCTGGAGAGCAGTGGCACGATCTTGGCTCTCTGCAACCTCTGCCTCCTGGGTTCAAGCGATTCTCCTACATCAGCTTCTGGAGCAGATGGGATTACAGGCGTGTGCCACTGTGGCCTGGCTAATTTTTCATATTTTTAGTAGAGATGGGGTTTCACCATATTGGCCAGGCTGGTCTTGGAACTGCTGACCTGACCTCAAGTGAGCCACCGCGCCCGGCCGCTAGTTATTGGTTTTGAGTAATGGATTCACATTCCCTGAGTTTAAAGTGTCCTATAGAAATTCTGAGATTTTTCTAAGTGTAATTGTAATGTTACCCTTGTTCAAGTGACTGTTTCCCACAGTTTTAAGTATATATAGTTGTGCATGAGTAGAATCTGCTTGTGGGGAACAGAGCTGGCATTCGCAAAGGCAGACTCATGGTTAGAAATGATTTGGACCGGGCGCGGTGGCTGACGCCTATAATCCCAGCACTTTGGGAGGCCGAGGCGGGTGGATCATGAGGTCAAGAGATCGAGACCATCCTGGTCAACATGGTGAAACCCCGTCTCTACTAAAAATACAAAAATTAGCTGGGCATGGTGGTGCACGCCTGTAGTCCCAGCTACTCGGGAGGCTGAGGCAGGAGAATTGCTTGAACCCAGGAGGCGGAGGTTGCGGTGAGCCGAGATTGCACCATTGCACTCCAGTCTGGGTAACGACAGTGAAAATTTCATCTCAAAAAAAAAAAAAAAAGAAAAAGAAAAGAAATGAATGATGTGGCCAGGAGCGGTGGCTCACGCCTGTAATCCCAGCACTTTAGGCCGAGGAGGGTGTATCTCCTGAGGTCTGGAGTTCCAGTCTAGCCTGGCCAACATGGTGAAACCGTGTCTCTACTAAAAATACAAAAATTAGCTGGGTGCTGTGGCACACGCCTGTAGTTCCGGCTACTTGGGAGGCTGAGGCCAGGAGAATCACTTGAACCCGGGAGGCAGAGATTGTAGTGAGCTGAGATCACGCTACTGCCTTCCAGACTGGTGACAGAGCGAGACTCCCATCTCAAAAAAAAAAAAGCATGATACGTTATGTTTACTTCAGCATGAATTGATGACTCCAAACCAAAGGGGTGTATTTATTGTAAGGATGTACTTTACATTCATGTTGAATAACGTATGTTGTTTCTTGAGGTTTAAGAGACTTGTAAAAATAGGGTATTCAAAAAAGATGAGTATTTGATACCAGGTTTCTAAAGAAATCTCAGTGTCTAGATCACTTTGCTGAGCACAGCATTAGGCATTTTCAGTCCTGGATACCACCATGAACAGGACAAAGCAAAGAGGCAATTCTAGACTCCCAAGTGGAAAGGGGATGGAGAGGATGCAGGTCAGGCTAGGGTCTCAGCTCTGTCAACCAAAACCAGAGGGACAGATAGGGTTAGACAGGTTATAGTTAGAATGGGAAGCTGGTTCAGAAAGAGGAAGGTCTGCAAATTGTGGGTAGGCTGAAGGAGGAAGGAGCAAGGGGCATTGGAGAGATCCAATCACAGAACAGTCTGATGAGCTACAAAGACATTTGGATTATTCCATGAATCGTTTAAGCCTTAAAACATGTTGAGTCCCTTTGTTTGTTTGTTTGTTTGTTTTTAAAGAGGGAGTTTCCCTCTTGTTGCCCAGGGCTGGAGTGCAGTGGGGCAGTCTCGGCTCACCGCAACCTCTGCCTCCCAAGTTAAAGTAATTCTTCTGCCAAGTAGCTGGAATTACAGGTGCCTGCCACCATGCCTGACTACTTTTTGTATTTATAGTAGAGACGGGGTTTCACCATGTTGGCCAGGCTGGTCGTGAACTCCTGACCTCAGGTGATTCACACACCTCAGCCTCCCAAAGTGCTGGATTACAGGCTTGAGCCACCATTTTAATGTTTGTCATTTAGATTTCCTTTTGTGCTGAAGTATTTGTCTTTTGCTGTTTCTTTTTTCCCCTAGTTCTTTGTCAGTTGTGTGTGATGTAAATGTCTTCTTCCACAATGTGTTCTTTGATTTAGTTTATGCCGTTGTTGCTGCGGCTGTTGAATAATAGAGGTCTCACTATGTTGCCCAGGCTAGTCTTGAACTCCTGGTCTCAAGTGTTCTCCCATTTCAGCCTCTCGACCTGTTGGGATTACAGGTGTGAGCCACCACACCCAGCCTTATGGCATCTTTTGATGAACAAATTATTGATTATAATATGGAATTGTCCTTTTATTTTCTCTATGGTTAATGTTTCTATAGGTTTTATTTAAGAAATCCACAGGGAGGCTGTGTGCAGTGGCTCACGCCTGTAATCCTAGCACTTTGCGGGGGCTGAGGCAGTCCAAAATGGATAGACCCTGTCTCTCCAAAAAAATATGAAAATTAGCCAGGCTTGATGGCATATGCCTGTAGTCGCAGCTCCTTGGGAGACTGAGATGGAAGGACTGTTTGAGTTTAGGAGGTTGAGGCTGTAGTGAGCCTTGATCATGCTATTGCACTCCAGCCTGGATAGCAGAGTGAGACGCTGTTCCCCCAAAAATAATTTTAAAAGTTGGTGAAAATGTTGATTATATGTTTTAGGGACAACTAGTAATTCACACCAAATTGTAGACTACAGAGAAGGCAAAAATAATATGATTTTAAAGCAAAATTTAAAAGATCTGTTTAGTAGTCAGGCATGGTGGCTCACGTCTATAATCTTAGCACTTTGGGAGGTTGAGGCAGGCAGATCATGAGGTCAAGAGATTGAGACCATTCTGGCCAATATGGTGAAACCCCATCTCTACTAACAATACAAAAATTAGCTGGGCATAGTGGTGGGCCCCTGTAATCCCAGCTACTCAGGCTGAGGCAGGAGAATCATCTTGAACCCAGGAGGTGGAGGTTGCAGTGAGCTGAGATAGTGCCACTGGCACTCCAGCCTGGTGACAGAGCGAGACTCTGTCCCAAAAAAAAAGATCTGTTTAGTATA